CACAAACATTAAGCCTGTTGAAATGGTTTTAAGAGTTAAGATTATGTCAAGAAGAAACTGAGAAGTGTTGTTACATGGTGTTTTTTCGTTTTAACATATTGCAAAATAAAAGTTGGATTTTATTTTTGATGCGGAACTTGAGAGCTCTTGCGAGTAAGAGGTGTTAATGTACTTAACCAGAGCGAAATCGTTAATAAAGTCGAATTTCTGTCCACGTTTTTCCAAATCGATTCGTAAACGATAGAAAGTAGGGGTAAACAGGCGAAGCGAGGCACTTGCCTGGGTAAAAATTTGAATTGACTTTTTTTCATGTCAAGTCCCCGTAACAGGCTATGCATTAAAAAAATAAATCAATACAATTATACAAAGAAGCGTTTCTTTTGATATTGCCTCAGTAACAATTTTTAGTCAAGCTACGGCCGTAGTAGGTTTTTTGCTATGAAGTAAAATATATGTGAATTGGTTTTCTCGAAGGCTTGCTATAAAAAGCTATTAATTTCACCCGACAGAAATCGTTGTTAAAGTGAAATTTCCGTCTACCTTTTCATAAACGATAGAAGTTCTTTTCTATAAAATATAACTCACGTAATTTTCGACAGGTTAAGTAAAATTTCCGTTCAAGTCTTAATTATAAACGACAGTTACTTTCCTTCTATGGAGTAAAACGAATGTAAAACGTCAAAATGGTTTTCTCGAGGGCTTTGCGGGACGCTAAGTCACTGTATATTATTGAGGAAGTCGGGTGTTCAATTGAATATTGGCAGTCAGTGACACTTTTAACATCGTACTTAATTTTAAAAATGGCCTGGAGAGACAACAATTTGTAATTTGCTGCTGTCTTGTAGTTATGCATGCAAAGCACGTCGCTTTTGACCCGGTAACATCACTTACTAAAGGTCGGTTAATAAAGCGGATTTTTATTTTATTTTTTAGCTGGAGCTAAACCATAAACTGAAAATTTATAACTAATGAAAATGGTTAAACAGCAGTGTTTTCACACGTTCTGCATCATTCGAAACTAACTAAAAGCAGCTGATAAAAACCCAAAAGCAATTAAAAATTTTTTGAGTTTTGTGTACAAAGGTTTATTGCACCCAAATTTCGCCGGCA